GGCCTCAGGCAATCCACTCACCTCAGCCTCTCAAAGGCGTGGGATTACAGGCTGAGCCACCGAGCCCGGCTCCTTTTTACTTTATTATAAAGGTGTGGGGTACCAGTCAGGATTAGGTACATAAGTAATGTATGTGCTGGTGAAGTTTGGGCCTCACTTGCCCTAATATAGGACCAGGTACCTTTTGTGTTGTCACATGACCCCCATCCCTCCCTTGTGCTATTGTGTTTAATGTTCAGGTCCCACTTATGAGTGAGAACACGTGGTATTTGGTTCTTTGCTCCTGTGTTAGATTGCAAAGAATGATGGTCTCCAGCGCCATCCAACTTGCTGAGAAGACCATGACTTTGTCCTTCTTTACGGCTGCCTGGCATTCCATTGCTTTTTTCTCTCTAATAAATTCTGTCTTGAACTATACTTCAGACTCCCTCTGAAACTCTTTTCTGTGACAGAGTCAAAGACCCCCACGGAGCAACACGCCGCACACCACCCTCCCACCACCACCACTCAGCATCGTGTCTTTCCAGACACCTGCAGGGCCCAGGTCCTAGGGGAGACGGGGCAGGGAAGGAGGAGTTACTTAATGCTGATGGCAAATTCCGCCGCATCCTTCACTCTCTGCCGCACCAAGAAGGTCCCGTCCGAGCGGTTGGTGAGGATGCTCTCTGCCCCTGCACGCTCCATGGGGCCGGCGTACCTGCAAAGGCAGAGGTCACGCAGTTCCATATTGGGCCCCTCTATGGCCACATGAAGCCTGCTTTTCTTCCCTGAACCCCTGTGATGTTTTAAGCAGCCACCAGAGCCCGGAGATGGGCGACGGCCGTCAACGTTGTAAGCCACACTCAAGGTGTGACACACAGATTGAGGCGTGGTGTGACTCGGCCCTTTGGGTCTGGCGGGGGTCTCTGGAATTTGCCGGGACGGGCATCTTACTGAGCGTCCATTGTATGCTCACCTCTGGGGTCACCAGGATAGAAGGAGAATAAGAAAAGTGAGGTACTAGCCTTGGTGCAAAATTTAAGCGGACAGGGACAAACAGGACTGCCTGTAAAATTTGGCGGAAGGCGAGACTCCCTTGATTATAAAGAGACATTCCAGCTGGGCTCGGTGGCTCAGCCTGTAATCCCGCACCTTTGGGAGGTGAGTGGATTGCCTGAGCCCGCGGGTTCGAGACCCGCCTGGGCAGCAAGACCTCATCTCTACAATAAATCAAAAAATCAGCCGGGCATGGTAGCGCGTGCCTGTAGTTCCAGCTACTTGGAAGGCTGAGGCGGAAGGATCGCCGGAGCCCAGCAGGTCGAGGCTGCGGTGGCCGGGAGCGGCCACTGCACTCCAGTCTGGGCGACAGAGTGAGACTCCAACTCAAAAAAAAAAAAATAGACATTCTAACGTCAGAGACGCTAAAATATAAAGAAAAAAATACATATCTTCGAATGAATGAAATGTGCTAACAACAGCCAATCTGCAAAAGGTGCTTACCATGGTGCCAGGATGAGGACTAAGTACTTCCCAGGCTCATTCAAGCCTCCTAAGAACACTACTAAGTAGATACCGTTATTCCACAATTCTCCAGAGAGGAAAAAGAGAGAGAGAGAGAGAGAGAGAGAGAGAGAGAGAGAGCGCTTAAGTGACGGCCCCAAGGTCACACAGCTAGGTCCTCTCGGGATCGGGATCTGAACCCAAGTTAGCAGGTTCCAAAAATCACATCGTAAGCGGCTTGCCATAGGCGCTCAAAAAAAAAAAAAAAAAACACGGGGGTCTGCTGTTACCATCACTGTCATGATCAGCATCGTGGTCGTTGTCATGGTAACCATTTCCCGACCAACAAGACGACAGTCTCTTAAGGTCAGGGATCCTCCTTCATCTGCTCCTCCCCAGCATCCCCAGCCCAGGGCTGCACTCCGAAATAAATGCTCGGGGTTCAAAGAATAAGTCACCGATCGGTCTGCACGCCCCTCCCATGCACAGCATGCCCCATCCCCCGCTGCCCCCCAAAACTCCTAGTTAAAAAAGAGGAAGGACGTGGTTCTACTCACCAGAGATGAACAGACAGGTCCTGAGGAGGGCCCTGGGAACACAGACAGAGACCCCGACTTAGGGCAAAGCCCCCCACAGGACTGCAGATGGCAGAACGTTGCATTCACACATCCATTTACCCTGCTAGAGCACTGGCGAGGTGCCTATCTTGTGCTAGCACTGTGCTGTCCACTGGAGATACAGTCTCAGACTCTCGGGGGAGAGACGGTCCCAATATTATATAAAGCAGGGGTTGCACCCGCACCTGTTTTTCTTTCATTATTTCTTTTTCTTAGAGTCAGGGTCTCACTCGGTCACCCAGGCTGGAGCGCAGTGGCATGATCACCGCCACCACAGCCTCGACCTCCTGGGCTCAGGCAATCCTCCCGCCTCAGCCTCTCAAGTAGCTGGGAGGACAGGCGGGCACCATCACGCCTGGCTAGTTTTGTTATTTTTTTGTAGGGATGGGGTCTTGCTATGTTGCCCAGGCTGGTCTCGAACTCCTAGGCTCCAGCAATCCTCCCACCTCAGCCTCTCACCTGTTAATCACGGTCCTCAAGCTATGAGTGGTTTTTATATTTTTAAATGGTTGGCAAAAATCAAAAGAATACCTCCTGGCATGTGAAAATTACATGAAATTCACACGATGTCGGTGAACCTATGCTTTATAGGAACAAAGTCACATCCACTTTGCTACAGATCCCCTATGGCCACTTTAGTGCTATGGGATAGAGCTGAGGCGTCATGAAAGAGAGATGTGACCCCAAGGGGGAACGTATTCATGGCACTGTCTGGCTCTTTACAGAAAAAGTTGGCCAATCCTGACCTAAATACAGGTGGAAGTGCTCACTCCCCCTGCCTCACACCCATTCAGATTGGCTACTATCCGGGAAAAAAAATAAAAATATTTCTAAAAAATAAAAACAGCTGGGCACAGGGGCTTATGCCTGCAATCCCAGCACTTTGGGAGGCAGAGTTGAGAGGACTGCCTGACTCAGGAGTTCGAGTCCTGCCTGAGCAACACGGTGAGACCTCGTCTCTACAATTAAGAAAAGAAAAAATTAGACGGACATGGTGGTGTGCACCTGTAGTTCCAGCTACTTGGAAGGCTGAGGTGGAAGGATCGCCTGAGCCCAGCAGGTAGCTATAGTGGCCATGAGTATGCCACTGCACTCCAGCCTGGGCGACAGAGTGAGACTCTGACTCAAAAAAAAAAAAGCAAATGTTGGCAAGGATGCAGAGAAATTGGAGACCTTGTGCAATGCAAAATGATGCAGCCACCGTGGAAAACTGTGTCGCAGTCCCTCAAAAAGTTAAAAGTTATGACCCAGCACAGTGGCTGCAACCCCAGCACTTTGGGAGGCATCTCTTATGCCCGGGAGTTCAAGACCAGCCTAAGCAACATAGCAGATCCCAAGGGGACAATTTTTTCCCGAATTGGCTCGTTGTATCAAGAACAACAGTTCAATCACCGGGCGTGGTGGCTCACATCTGTAATCTCAGCACTTGGGAAGGTCAAAATGGGAGGATTGCTTCAGCCCAGGAGTTCAAGACCAGCCTAGGCAATAGAGCAAGAACATGTCTCTGCAAAAATCAAAAGAATCAGCCAGATGTGGTGGCACACACCTGTAATCTCAACTACTCCGAAGGCTGAGGCAGAAGGATCGCCCGAGTCCAGGAGGTTGAGGCTGCGGTGATCATGCCACCGCCCTTTAGCGGGGGCAACAGTGCAAGATCCCGACTCAAAAAAAGAAAAAACATTAGAATTAGAACAACCATAGGATCCAGCAATCCCATTGCTGGGTATGTGCCCAAAGGAATTGAGAGCAGGAATTCAAAGAGATAGCTGCACACCCATGTATGCAGCTGTGATATTCACAACAGGCAAAAGTGGAAGCCACCCAAGTGTTCATGGACAGAAGAATAGATCCACAAAATGTGGTGCATGCACACAATGGGCTATTATTCAGCCTTAAAAGTGGCCAGAAGCCGGGCTCGGTGGCTCAGCCTGTAATCTGGCGCCTTTGGGAGGCTGAGGTGAGTGGATTGCCTGAGCCCGCGGGTTCGAGACCCGCCTGGGCAGCGAGACTTCATCTCTGCAATAAATAAAAAAAACCAGCCGGGCGTGGTAGCGCATGCCTGTAATTCCGGCTACTTGGAAGGCTGAGGCGGAAGGATCGCTGGAGCCCAGCCGGTCGAGGCTGTGGTGGCCGGGAGCGGCCACTGCACTCCAGTGTGGGCGACAGAGTGAGACTCCAACTCAAAAAAAAAGTGGCCAGACTTGGTGGCTCAGCCTGTCATCCCAGCACTTCGGGAGGCTGAGACGAGTGGATTGCCTGAGCCCACAGGTTTGAGACCAGCCCAGGCAACTTGACAAGACCTCATCTCTACAATAAGTTTTTAAAAAATTAGTTGGGCATGGTTGTGCGCGCCTGTAGTTCCAGCTACTTGGAAGGCTGAGGTGCAAGGATCGCGGGAGCCCAGCAGGTCGAGGCTGTGGTGGCCGTGAGTATGCCACTGCACTCCAGCCTGGGCAACAGAGTGAGACTCTGACTAAAAAAATAATAATAATTAAAATAAATAAAATAAACCAAAAAAATAGCTGGGCATGGTGGTGCGTGCCTGTAGTTCCAGCTACTTGGAAGGCTGAGACGGAAGCATCGCCGGAGCCCAACAGGTTGACGCTGGGGTGGCCGTGAGTGTGCCACTGCACTCCAGCCTGGGCGGCGGAGTGAGACTCAAAAAAAAGGAAGACAATTCTGCCCCTCAAGATAGATGAACCTTGGATACATTATGTCAACTAAAGAAACAAAGTACTGTCTGATTTCACTTATATGAGGTCCCTAGAGTCGCCAGATTCACAGAGACAGAAAGCAACGTGCTGGGTACCAGGGGCTGGGGAGAGGATAGGGAATACGTGTTTCATGAGGACAGAGTTTCCGTGTGAGAAGACAAGAACGTTCTGGAGATGATGAAACTGATGGTTGCACAACCATGTGAATGTGCTTAATGCCGCTGACCTGTGCCTTAAAAATGGTCATTGGTAAATTTTATGTGTGCTGCTACAATTAACAATAATAATTTTTAAAATGAGGAAACACCATCTCTGTCTGGTTTCTATTTTATTTTATTTTGAGATAGGGTCTCTGTCCCCCAGGCTAGAGTGCAGTGGCACAATCATGGCTCCCCACAGCCTCGACCTCCTGGGCTCAGGTGATCCTCCTAACTCAGCCTCTGGAATAGCTGGGACTACAGGCACGCGCCACCACTCCCGGTTTATTTATTTGTTTGTTTATTTTTGTCGAGATGAGGTCTCACTCTGTTTACCAGGCTGGTCTCAAATTCCTGGGCTCAAGTGATCCTCCCGCCTCAGCCTTCCAAAGTGCTAGGATTACCAGCATGAACCACCACACCCAGCCCCAAATATTTTTATCAACCCAAGAAAAAATTCCATACCCATTAAGTATCAGTACCTACTCCTGTCCCCGACCCTGCTTCACCCAGCACCTGACAACCACCAATTTGCTTTCTGTCTCTGTGAATTTTCCTATTCCAGATATTTTTATATAAATGGAATATACCAGATGCAAGTATATAAAATAACTCTGAATTTTTCCCTTGAAATGGTTCGTTTTCATTGTGCAAATTTCACCTCAATTTTTACAAAGAAAAAAAAGATGAGATGTTTTAGGTATCATGATAGGAAAAGATTCCAAGATATATGAAGTGAGAAAAAAATCAGGCTGCAGAATAGTGAATACTGAACACTGGGGGAGAATGAGAATCTGTATTTGTATTTACTTGTAGTTGCATTAACAAACTCTGAACGGCTGTATTAAAAATGAATAGTAGTAGCTGGGCATGGTGGCTCACGCCTGTAATCCTACTACTTTGGGAGGCTGAGGCAAAAGAATTGCCTGAGCCCAGGAGAGAGAGGCAATCCTGGGAAACACAGAGAGATCTCAGCTCTACAAAAAATGAGCTGGGCATGGTGGTGCACGCATGTAGTCCCAGCTACTCCGGAGGCTGAGGCAGAAGATCGCTTGAGCCCAGGAAGCTGAGGCTGCAGTGAGTGGGGATCACGACACTGCAGCCTCAGCAACAGAACAAGAACCCATAACAAAACAAAAAGAAGGAGGAAGAGGAGGAGGAGGAAGAGCGGGAGGAGGAAGAGAGGAAAAAGAACAAGAAGAGAAGGAGGAAGAGGAGGAAGTGGAAGTTATCTTGTGAGGTGGCTGGTACTGGAAGGAGGGGCTTTTGAATGGAATGGAGAACCGTCATCCTTTTTTTTCTTTTTAGCAGGATTTACTGAGAGAACAGAAAAGCTCCCACAGTGGGAGGGGACCCGATTTTTTTTTAATCTTTTTCTTGGAGCCTTTGACGTAACACAAGGGGAGCAGCTACTTTAAAGAAGACGCTACATCTGGAGGCAGAAATCGGAGAGGTGCCCAGATCTTGGCTTCTGAACGCCACGCCCCACTGAGAGGACCAGCGCTCCATTGAGAAACAGTTGATTCCAAGACTGGGGCAGGGAAAACATAAGATCAACCTGGTATCCCGTCAGCAAATAAGGAAGTACTCAGAGATACGGGAAAAGTCAAAAGGAAAGAGAAGCCAGCCTGAAGGGCTCCTGCTGGCCAAAAGCTAGGGCAAGACTAAAATAAGAGTCCACAAGCTGTTCCTGATTGAAGATGATAGATACAGAGATAGACAGACAGACAATTCACAGATAGGCAGAGAGTCGATCGATGGATAGATAATTAATGGACAGATAAATGGATAATAGGGTGGGTGGGTAGATGGATAGATGAATAGATGGACAGCTGTATAGACTGGTAACAGATGATAAACCAGTAGATTGATAGATAGACGGATAGAAGATAGGTACAGTGGATGAATAGAGAGATAGGCTAATAAATAGATAATCGATAGGTGACAGATGGGGCAGGAATCCACTCTGGATGAATAGACAATGAATGCACGGATAGATAGATAATTGATAGATAGATGATAGATGGTTGATTAGACAGACAATGAATGGATGGATGGATGGATAGATAGATGATAGGTAATTGATAGATGATGCATGAATTAATGGATAGATAAATAATAGATGGATCAATAGGTGATTGATCGATGATAGATGGATAACGGATGGACAGATACACGGCGAACGGATGAGTGGACAGACAGCTACATAGATTGGTGATTGGCAGATTAGACAGATGATAGATTGATCGATCAATCTATTGATAGATATGAGGGATAATAGATGATAGGCTAATCAATCGATAATTGATAGATATGGATGGATGGATGGGCAACGGATGGATGGATGGATGGATGGATAGACAGACAGACCGAGTAGAAGGACAGCTCTTCCTTTCAGCAGAATACCAGCCAATCAATTTGGAATGATGTAGGTGAATATTCATCAGGGGCCTCCCAGCCCCCACTAAACCCCAGAACACCCAGAAAAAAAAAGAAAATTCATAACGCAACTTGGCAGGGGAGAAACCATAGGGATCAAAATTACATAGCTGAATAACATTTGGGGGCAGACTGGAAAAATTTAAATATAGACTGTGACTGAAATAACAGTATAACGACAATGTTGGATTTTATGGCTTTTTTTTTTTTTTTTTGAGTTGGAGTCTCACTCTGTCGCCCAGACTGGAGGGCAGCGGCCGCTCCCAGCCACCGCAGCCTCGACCTGCCGGGCTCCGGCGATCCTTCCGCCTCAGCCTTCCGAGTAGCTGGAACTACAGGCGCGCGCTGCCACACCCGGCTCATTTTGATTTATTGTAGAGATGAGGTCTCGCCAAGTTGCCCAGGCGGGTCTCGAACCCGTGGGCTCAGGCAAGCCACTCACCTCAGCCTCCCAAAGGCGCGGGATTACAGGCTGAGCCGCCGAGCCCGGCGGATTTTATGTCTTTTTAAATCATGCCATGGTTGTGTACAAGAAGGTTCTTGCTCCTAGGAAGTAGGGGGGGGGACAAAGAGGTATGATGTCTGCAAACTTGCTTTTAAACTGTCTCAGGAAAAAAGAAATAAAATGTGTGTGTAGAGAGAGCGAATGACCAAGCAAACGGAACAGCACACTGACAACTGGAGAATCTGCGCAAAGGCAACGCGGGGGCTCTCTGTGCCCCGTAGCTTTGCTAGGAGTCTGGAATTGTAAAACGTTAAATTGACAGCAAGCCCTGGGGAGGGTCCCCTGGGTCATCTGCTGTAAATATGGGAGAAAGGGGGCGTCTGAGTTCGGAAAAGCGCGGAGAAAATTTGAAGTCATCGTGAACAGTGAGGGATCCGTGGAGCAGAGAACCACTGGAGAAGGAAAAGTCGAGGCTAGGGTGGACAGGACTGTCCACTGGGAGCTGGGCAAGGAGGTGGGGGGGGACGTGACACCCTCACGGGACCCAAGTCAGTGTCTCTGAGGGAAGCCAGGGACGGGGCCGTCTCCTAGGTCCCTGCTCCTCCTCCTCCACACCCCTGCAGGCAGGAGAGGACCCTCATGCAAAAAAGAACCAAGGAGAAAATGACCAGGAGGTATAGGTTGGTAGTTGGCAGTTCAGGATTTTCAAACCTGAGTCTTGTCTCCCACCAGAATGGCTAAAGTTAAAAAGGCTGACAATACCATGTGTTGACAGGGAGCAACTGGAACTCTCGTACATTGCAAGTGAGAATCCACTTTGGAAAAACAATATCATCTGTCAAGGAGTGGAAGCCCTCTGGGTCCAGTTAGTGAAGTAGGCAAAGTCTTGAGTGGGGAATGGCCACCATGAGGGACAACCCTTCCCAAGCCTGCCCACGCTCTCAGGACCCGCTTGGGCTCCCTTGCCCTCCCTCCATCCACACCCAAAGCACTCACACGAACGTACGGCTTCACCCTGTTGCAGGGAAACCAGCCAACTTCATTGGTAGATGTATTCCTGCCCTAAACACCCAGGAGACAAAAGCACGGGCAGAAAGGTTACAGGCATCCGTGTGTGTGTGTGTCCATCTCTCTGTTCCATGGCCCCTCAGACTGTCCATCTGCCTCTGGATGACTCGGATGGCCCAGAGAAGAGTCAATCAATATCGACTTCCTGGGAAGATGGCCAGTTCAGAAGAGTCAAGCCAAGCCCAGAAAATCTAGTCTACAACCCAGCTGCCCAGGGAGCAACCCTAGAATCCAGTGGAACCATGATTCCACTACCATGACCCAGCACAGGGCTCCTAACCCATCACTCCCACAGCCTCAGCCTGTACCTCCCACCAGTTCTGCTCAGCTTCAGCCTTGGTGAGCTCCACAATGTCTCCGGGATTGAGCCTTAGAAATGGCCCAATGGCTCCTGGGGGTGGAGGAAGCCCGTAGTATTCCTGAAACACCTCCATCTTGGGTAGACCTGGAGGACAGGGAGGGTGGGGTACAGGAGGGGGTCGGTCGTCAAGAACCTTCAAACTGGAATCTTGCCGTCCACCAGAATGGCTGAAATCAACAAGCTGACAATACCAAGTGTTGACAGGGATATAGAGCAATTGGAGTTCTCGTGCTTTGCTGGTGGGAAGCCACTTTGGAAAAACTGATAATGTCTATGGAAGTTCAACATACACCTACCACCCCATAACCCAACAACCTAGGAGAAATGAAAACATATGTCCTCTGAACATCGTGAGCAAAAATGTCCACACCAGCGTTATTAACAATGACTAAAAAACTGCCAACGAACCAAACGTCCTCAACAGGTGGATGTAATGAATTTGAGCTAGCTACTTCTAGATTCCTCTTGGGTTTGGGGTCTGGCTCACAGCGTTATAAACAGGACACTGTGTGTGTGTTAGTGTGAGTATGCAGGTCTGTCTCTGGATCAGCATCAGTGGAAGAAATCATCTTTCCAGGGCCCCCCACCAACTCACCCAGCTCATTCTTCTTTTTGTCCTGAGCTCTGCGGTGTGGTTTGTCCTGGAAGGAGAGACCAAGAGCGCATATTGAAAGGGTGAAATGCCAAAATGGAATGACGTGATGAAATAATCTCAACGAAGGTGCAGCCGTTTTGACACTGCCTAGTTCTGTCATGCTTGTTTAGCAAATTACCTAGTCTGCCTCTCCAATCACTAGCCAAGGAGGGAACCGGCTTCTCAGAGGTAGCTGTCGACCATTGTTTACAACTCCCTCCCTAGCTTGTTTTGTTTTAAATAGCTTTTCTATTCCAAGTATTTGCCTCCAGCGGTAAGAAACCAGGTTAACCAAATCAGCCCTGCATGACCTCTGTGGCAACCAGACAGACCCCATCACCATGGCAACCCACCCATCTGTCTGCCGTCCACCACCTGACATCAGTACCTGTGCTGACCTGGCCTTCCTGATGATGTGAAACAGGCCACCACTCAATCACCTTAATGACCTACCCTCATCAAAGGCATTCGACCTCAAACAGCAGCCACCACCATTGCTTTTGGCCAGGACATGTGAACTATGGCCGTCATGCTTTTTCCTAAGCTTTGGCCACCTCCCCTGCCTTGGGGAGGTGAATCTTCTCTCTCTCTCTCATCTACTTTTTTTTTTTTCCGAGTTGCTGTCTCACTCCGTCGCCCAGGCTGGAGTGCAGTGGCACACTCATAGCCACCCCAGTGTCGACTTGCTGGGCTCCGGCGATCCCTCCGCCTCAGCCTTCCCAGTAGCTGGAATGACAGGCGTGCGCTACCACACTCGGCAAATTTTTGATTTATCGTAGAGACGAGGTCTTGCCAAGTTGCCCGGGCTGGTCTCGAACCCGTGGGCTCAGGCAATCCACTCACCTCGGCTTCTCAAAGTGCCGGGATTATAGGCTGAGCCACCAAGCCCGGCTTTCATCTATTTTCTAAATAAGCTATACTTTCTGATCTAACTTCTATGCAATTCTTTGCATCTTACGCACAGCACTGGATCACAGACCCCTCCAGGCTGACCTAACACATGTGTAAACCAAAATAAAATCGTAAGCCTTGCAAGCTTCCAAACTGACTGAGCAGACCCTGTCATAGACAAGGGAATCTCAGAGAAAACTGGAAACTGAATTCCCAGGCACGACAGAAAAGGAGATCAGACATGCCTTGTATTATCCCCACCTTTTGGGAGGTTTTTTTTTTTGGGGAGTGCAGTGGCTCACTCACAGCTACCATAGCCTTGATGCAGTCTTCCACCTCAGCTTCCCGAGTAGTTGGGACTACAGGTGCCACCGTGTCTGGCTAATTTTTTAATTTGTTATAGAGACAAGATCTCATTGTGTTGCCCAGGCTGGTCTCAAACTTCTGGGCTCAAGCAATCCTCCCAACTCAGCTTCCCAAAGTGCCGGGATTAAAAGTGTGAGCCACTGCACCCAGCCCTCTGGGAGTTTAGACAAAACAACTGGCCAGCATTAAATCAAAATAGAGATCATAAAACTGATGGAACAGACTCTCTGTGGCAATAAGATACCAAATTATAAACAGGACCCGAAGCCATGCCAGGCAAGGGCTGAGCTGAACCCTACAAATCACAAAATCTTGTTCAACAATTTTTTGGGTTTCTTTAATTACTCTGGTATAATATGGCTTGTTCTGCCACCCAACTTTGGTAGAGCATCACAAAACAGATAGCAGATCCTGAAGGAAATAAAAATATTATACCCCAAAACATATTTATTTGACTATTTTGAATTGTGAAAGGGCCCTGCAAGCCCAGCTTTTTCTTTCTTTTTTTTTTTTTTTGAGTTGGAGTCTCACTCTGTTGCCCAGACTGGAGTGCAGTGGCCGCTTCCGGTCACCGCAGCCTCTACCTGCTGGGCTCCGGCAATCCTTTGGCCTCAGCCTTCTAAGTAACTGAAACTACAGGTGCGTGCTACCATGCCCGGCTAATTTTTGATTGATTGTAGAGATGAGGTCTTGCCAAGCTGCCCAGGTGGGTCTCCAACCCACGGACTCAGGCAAGCCACTCGCTTCCACCTCCCAAAATGCTGGGATTAGAGGCTGAGCCACCAAGCCCGGCTGTAAACCCAGCTTTTTGAGGAAAAATTTGCATCTGTTGAGAATCTCCACTAAATCAACCAGACCTTCCCCTATAGGCCCTTCCCAGATCTCAGAGGGATTAACTGAGAATCTGACACCTTTAAGGTCTGAAGAGACATTTGCCATCTTTCCTCTCTCAAGAGTGTCACCTAAGAGACTTCATTTACATGACAAGAACCTAAACCTTACTACAATAATGAGAAAGTAGAAGCTATGTTTTTGGAGAAATGCACACTTTAGGTAAAATTAACTTAGCCGACTTTGTCTTTTCAGAAACACAGACTTCCTGGTGCCAGGTATCAGAGATATCTCATAGCGGCAACCAAACTTGCCTAGAATAAGGGGAATTTACAAGGCCTAGGACATCATGCATTGGTCAAGGATAGTAGAAGTCATGAAACTTGTAATTACAAAAGTTATGACCGCTCAGAGGGGGAGCAGGCACAGATTCCATCTTCCAGTAAATTAGATGCTGTCTACAGGGAAACCAAGGATCCCCCAAAGCTACCCACTGAGAATGCCTAGGAGATAAGGGGAGGTGCACCCTCCATTAGCTCTAAGAAATGTCATTCAGGAGGGTGCACGATAATTAGAATCCTTGTCACGCCATTCTCTAGGGGCTATGATAATGTGGGCAGGCATTAGTGGGTATCTGGGTCACAGGTTCTCCAAGACAGCCACAGGTGGTTGATAAGGATGTCATGGCAGTCATGCCTACCTAATTGCAACATCTCCAAGGAAAAGGATTTAAGCCAGGGCTTTGGGGGGCTATGACGCCACACTCACCTAGAGTGTAGGCCTGCTCCCTGTCTGTGGGAAGCGAAGCTTTCTTAAATAATGCTTATCTTCTCTCACCTCTTTGTGTGCTGCAATTCCTTGCATTTACTCACCCATCTCACCCTCACCCTGTCCGGACCCTAACACTCAGGACCTCTTGAGACTGTGGACTCTGGGTCATGATCACTCACATAGGCTCAGAATAAACCTCAAAAGATTTTACAGGCCAGGCGTGGTGGCTCACGGCTATCATCCCAGCACTCAGGGAGGCCGAGGTGGGAGGACTGCTTGAGGACAGAGGTTCGAGACCAGCCCAGACAACATAGCAAGATCTTGTCTCCACAAAAAAAAGTCAAGAATGTTGGTGTGTGCCTGTCGTCCTAGCTACTTGGGAGGCCGAGGTGGGAGGATCGCCCAGGAGGTCAAGGCTGTGGTGAGCCATGACCATGCCACTGCCCTCCAGCCTGGGCGACAGAGCGAGACCATGACTCAGAAAAATTAAAAATAAAATGTTTTACAGTGTGGTTTTTTTGTTAGCACATGGCTACCTATGCCCAGCCTGGGGCGTCTTCAGACTCATCACTGCCCTCACCCATCGAAGGATCATGCCCACTTCTGGAGCTTCCAGGGTCCTCCCTTCATTCCGCTCCACAATTTGCTATATACAGAAACAAACAAGGGAGGGTTGTCTTACCTTCTTCATAGTTCCTGGAAAATCTAAGGGAGGGAGAAGGACATAATCAGGATGGGAAATTCCCGATTCCTGGGGATGTCTTCTAACCAAGCCCGCCTCCCAAACTCCCTCCCACTGGTACCTTGCCCATGTCGGCCACACGGAGGGACCCTCCCCAGACACTCCTTGTGTGCAGGTGCCCGGCACCGATGACAGCGGTAGCCCTGGTAGAAGGTGCCCCTGGGGTACGGGGAGAAATATAAGAATGTCACCTTGATGGACACAGACAGTCATTCTGCCAACAAGGTGAAGAACCCCCTCAGTGTCCCTTTAGTTCATGAGAGCAATGGAGAAGCAGGTGATCAAAGGGGGGGGTCTCCCACCTCTCAGGGGAGCGGACCCGTTCCTGGGGATGTCTTCTAAAGAAGAGCGCTAACCAAGCCCAGGACCCAGGCCCACCCTCCGGGACTCCCACCTCAGCAACATCTGACAGGCCTTGCAGGAAGTGGTCTCCTCGAAGGAGAACATCTGGAAGTCGTGCCCGTTGGCGGTGGCATTCTCGGGGTAGATGTTGGAGCTGTGGGGACAGGGGAATAAAGGAAGAGAAAGAGGCAAGTTATTCAGTGTAGGTTAGACATTGGTATGTTTCTATAGGCAGTTTTAAATTAAAATAGGGTGCCAGGTACAGTGGCCCATGCCTGCAATCCCAGCACTTTGGGAGGCAGAGGTGAGAGGGCTGCCTGAGTACAAGGGTTCAAGACCAGCCTGGGCAAACTTCACAAGACCTCGTCCCTACAATAAGTCAAAAAATTAGCTGAGTGTGGTGGCACGTGCCTGTAGTTCCAGCTACTTGGAAGGCTGGGGCGGAAGGATCACCTGAGCCCAGCAGGTCGAGGCTGCAGTGGCCATGAGCATACCACTGCGCTCCAGCCTGGGCAACAAAGTGAGACTCCAACTCAAAAATTAAAATAAAGTAGGGTAAGCGTTAAGACATCTTTCTCATCAGCAAACCAGATCTGTCCACCCTGCAAGCCCCTGAAAGATGGAGAGATGGTAATTAGCCTACCTTCTTAGTTCATAGTTAGCACAATCATCGTTAAAAAAAGTGTATCAAGCTTCCGGTCAAGGGCAAATGTGAGTTCAGAAAAGCCCACCCTCTTAGCTCATCACAGGTGGAGAGATGGTCATCAAAACTCATGACCAGGCGGGCACAGTGGCTCACGCCTGTAATCCTAGCACTTTGGGAGGCGGAGGCGAGAGGACTGCCTGAGCCCAGCGGTTCAAGAACAGCCTGGGCAACTTGGCGAGACCTCATCTCTACAATACATTTAAAAATTAGCCAGGTGTGGTGGCACATGCCTGGGGTTCCAGTTACTTGGAAGGCTGAGGCGGAAGGATCGCCTGAGCCCAGCAGGTTGAGGCTGCGGTGGCTGTGAGCGTGCCACTGCACTCCAGCCTGGGTGACAGAGTGAGAGTCCAACTCCAAAACAATCCCCAATAACTCTTGACCAGATAGATACCTGCACCCCACCTTCTTAGATCACAATGAGCATAATGATCACTGTGAAAGTGTATCAAGCTTCCTTCCAAGACAAATGTGTGTTCCTTCTCTCCAGACACCCATGCCCGTCAGGCATGTCTCCTTCTCTCTCTCTAATAAATTCTGTCTTCAACTCTACTTGGATTCTCCCCAAAATCCCTTTCTTTGGCAAGTCAAAAGAACCCAGAGGTCACACTGCACCCCACCCGGCAACCTTTTTTATAGCTGAATACTAATCTATGGTATGGACAGACCACATGTTGTTTGTCCCGTGATCCACTGCTTGACACCTGGGCTGGCTCCACCTTTGGGCTACTGTGAATAGTGCTGTTAGGAGCATGGGCAGAGAAAGAAAACAGACTGAGACTTGCCAGGGGCTGGGAAAAGGGAGAACTGGGGTGAGGGGCTGTGACTGCAGAATGAATGTGAGGTCTCCTGTGGGGAAGATACAAAGGTTTTGGAACAAAGTGCTGGTGAGGTCGCACAACACTATGAATGTACTAAATGTTATGAAATGTAGGGGGAGAACCCCCCAAAAATGGAATTATCTTTTGGAGGGCAGGATCCATATAGCACAGGCTTCCCCTACTAGGTAAGTGTTCTAGGAACTCATTAGCATCAGTGTGCCAGCTAGCATTGTTGTGAGAGGATGCGTTTGACTTCAGGTTTTGTGTTTTTTTTTGGAGATTCTTTCAACGCATTGGCCCATTTCATGGTAATTTATGAGCGCACCTGCCCACACCGCACTGAGTGTTCAGCAGTTTTTGACTAAAAACAGCATCGCCCTCATGCCCTACCCTCCCTATTCACCCCAATTCACGCCCTCATGCCCTACCCTCCCTATTCACCCCAATTCACCCCAAGCAACCTTTTTTTGTTTCCCCGGATGAAAATAGTCCCCAAAGGGAAACGTTTGGCCGATGTGGAAGAGGTGAAACAAAAAACGGCAGAAGTACTAAAAGACATCAAAATGGATGAGTTCAAACACGGTTCTGAGTCGTGGAAAAAGCATCTCGATAGGTGGATTGCATCAAACGGAGAGTACTTGGGAGGTGACTGAAGTTTAATCGTGTAAGAATAAATATACAAGCCGGGCTCAGTGGCTCAGCCTGTAATCCCGCGCCTTTGGGAGGCTGAGGTGAGTGGATTGCCTGAGCCCGCGGGTTCGAGACCCGCCTGGGCAGTGAGACCTCATCTCTACAATAAATCCAAAAATCAGCCGGGCATGGTAGCGCATGCCTGTAATTCCGGCTACTTGGAAGGCTGAGGCGGAAGGATCGCCGGAGCCCAGCAGGTCGAGGCTGCGGTGGCTGGAAGCGGCCACTGCACTCCAGTCTGGGCGACAGAGTGAGACTCCAACTCAAAAAAAAAATTAAAAAAAATAAAATAAAAAAAGAATAAATATACAATTTTTCATAAATAAAGTCTGGGGTTTTTGGCGTCCCCCCCCTTGTACACTTTGAAATGGTTAAAGTGCTGTTATGTGACTTTCACCTCAATAGTAAAAAGAAGAAGGAAGAGAAGAGGGGAGGAAAAAGGAAAAGGAGGAGGAGAAGGAAGAGGAAAAAGAGGAGGAAGAGAAGGAGGAGGAGAAAATTCCAGATCCTAAGTGCACCTGCAGTCCCAGCTACTCGGTAGCTGCTCAATCTTTTT